GCACACACACAAACACACACACATGCACACACACAAACACACACACATGCACACACACACACAAAGAGACCCTAGAGGGGTGGGCCCACAGCACTAAGCACAGCTTTATGTACTAAGAGTGATCACAGTGCCTTACAAACTGAGAAGGGCTATTTCATCAACATCTTATTTCTACAGCAATAACTTACACCTTGAATGCTTAGATTAAATGTGTGCAGTTTACAGCCAAACGAAGCACATGTTCTGACCGGGAGACACATGTCATACCTGCTTTTCTTAAGGACAAGTGCCCACGCGAGGATCAGCAAGATGAAGGAGGTGAAAACGGCCATGAGGATCCACATGGACTTCTCCCTGGGGATATCTTCACAGAAACAACACGAGCCATTTAGACACTGCTCATCCACTACAGCAGTATTTCCCAATCTGGTCCTCAGGGACCCGCAGACAGTATGTATTGTTGCTCCCTCCCTGCTACCTAAAATGTGAACTGACAGGGCTGTGATGGAACAGATCCCAAAAGCACCGGGCACCGGGCACTGGGCACTGGGCACCGGGCACCGGGCAGGGGACGCCCCGGACGCGATGCCTGTCCATCACAGGGCACTTACCCTTCCTTCACCCTTTCTTCTTCCTTTTCTTACCCTTCCTTCACCCTTTCTTCTTCCTCTTCTTACCCTTCCTTCACCCTTTCTTCTTCCTTTTCTTACCCTTCCTTCACCCTTTCTTCTTCCTTTTCTTACCCTTCCTTCACCTTGCCCACATCCTTCCCTCACCTGCTTTAATCAGGGATAAGCCCACTCACTCCCTGCCTCAGGACGACGGCTTTATGCCCAAACAGTCTTGACAGGCTTACAGTCGGGCACTTTCATGAAGGCCGGGGAACTCCATTCGCTCCAGTATCCGTGGTCAGGCTTGCAGCGCACCTTCACCACGTAGACCTCCCCGGGTATGGGCCTGAAGATCCGGAAGTGCTTCTGTTGGCCTGCAAAATGAAGCTGCAGAAGCACAGACAGGGGGTCTTCAGGGGTTTGGTGGGTGAGGCGGCTGCTTTTGTGCACTATGGATGACACAATCTTGTCAATGGCCGAGTCAACCATTGTACACAAATACACCATACATATCCTGAAACCACACTCTTTCTCCACGTATGAGCATGTGATTCTGTTCCCATAGCAAGACACTCATCCTAAAGTTATACAGTGCAAATGTGTGCATTCTCTCACAGGAGTTACTATCAGGATAGTACATGCCTACTCCAGAGTTGAAAGTCACCTAAACTCCTATGGCCTAGTACAACCCCGGTGGACAGTCTAATCTCATGGTCAAGCAGGCACTAGGTGGACAGTCACATCTTATGAACAGTCATCATGGTAGACAGTCCAATCTCATGAATAGTCATCTTGGTCTAGCAGACCCCAGGAGGATAGTTCAATCTTTAGCACGAACCTCCGACTTGTTGTCCTTCTCCCGCTTGACACACAGCTCGTAGCTGAGAGTGACCCAGCCGGAGCGGGTGTCCACCCTGTGAGGCTTCTCCCATTTCACCTGTAGGTACGGGTTGTCACCGTCTTCCAGAGTCACCGTCACGTTCTCTGGGTGGTGAGGCTGAACTGGGAAGAGAGAGGATAAGAGAGCAAAGGGTTTCAGAAAGACTGAGCTTCCGCTTCCTCACAGTATGTATATTCATATTCAATCTTTACAGTGGTACAGATCACTGTAAATCAAATCATATTAAATCCCCATTAAATGATCTCATTCATGTTTTGGAGTTAAAATCATAGAAACTCACAAAACAAATTCATGTGCAGCGTAACAATGTCTCAGTCAAAGACAGGGTGCACATACAACGGTAGGATGCACCCCCCCCCCCCCAAAGCGGAAACAAAAACAACCACAGGATTTTAAACTGTAATGGGGCATTTCTCGATTCCACATGTCCGTGTTCTAGAATCACTTTTTGGGCCAGATTAAAGCATCCATCGATGGTGTTCTTCGTACGTTCATGCCTGAAATGGGGCTTTTGACAGGAGTTCCACACCTGTGCACCGAGGGCTGAAGCCCACACGCAGTGTTTACTGCGTACATATGCATGCGCGGCACGTGGAGGTGAGTGTGATGCTCATTTTAAGGTGTCACTCAGCCACGTGTGCGGGGCTGATGCTTCAGGGCTGCCGGGGGGGGGGGGGGGGGCCCCAAGGGAAAAAAAAACCCCCCCCCCAGTTTTTAACTTGGCTCAATTCATCCTCCCAATAAACAATATATTTTTATTATATTATTAAGTGTTGTCACCCTCAACTACAAACTTTCCAACGCCATTGGTCCCCTCCATAAGATTATGAGGGAGCTGAAAAATTCCTGTCGACGTTGTAGCCATTGTAATGTCGTTCCGCAACGCATTACTTCTGTGTTTATTGTGATGCTGGCGTAAACAAATCCACTGCGCTGCCAGTCATATAAAAGAACAGCTCACAGAATTATGTACAGTATATAATACTTAATGATAATAAACAACTGTTACTGGTTTATGTATTTACTATACTGTACTTTTTATCAATATTTTAGAGTAGGTTATAGCATCTAGGTTTATGTAAGCCAGGGTTGCCATCTCTCACGCATCTGGCAGCACATTCACGCTTTTAGACTCTCAGGCTCACATTAGAAATCTTACAGCGAATATTTATTATTCCATTATAAACCGATAATGAGCTACATCAAAAGCATTGAGGTTGTTTGCAAATTTTACAGACTATTTACAAGGTAATAAATGTCTTACATACATGTAAATGCGTGCGCATGCTTGTCTCGGGTCGAAAGTCTCACACCAGCCAGCTGAGTAAAGTTGGCAACCCTGATGTAGCGCAGTCTATGTTCGCACGACGACAAAATCGACTAACGATGCATTTCTCAGAACTTATCCCCCATGTTAAATTACACATGACTGTACACATTTGAATCTGAGTTTCAACACAAAGTTATACTCATTTAAAATGCTACCTTTAGGCTACGTTCACATTACATGCCTCATTGGCCAATTTCGATTTTTTGATTTGCCTATCTTGACGGTTCACATTCATTATTACGAGTGACCTGTATTTAACTGTAATGTAAACGCATCTGTTCTCCGAAACAATTCGCATGTGCACATCGATACGTCTTTGCAATCATCTGCATCACCAAAAGAAAAAAAAAACATTCAGCGCCTGTATATGAGCAAAGAAAGACATGAATTCTGATCTGACTGTTCACACTCATGTCTCATTGCCACAAATTCGATACCACATATGAAAGTGATTTGAATTGATCTGATTTAAAAAGATCGGATTTGTGTCACTTCAGCTTGATAGTGTGAACATACGAGCCTTAGAACAAATATTTAAGTCTGGATCTTTATCAGCAATTAATCATTACAATTGTCATGCAAAGTTCTCCTCAGTCTGTAAACCTACATTATTCTACATATTAATATGTTCACATATTTCAAATCGAAAATAATTTTTAAAAAAGCATGACATTGAACGATGGCTTCATAGAACGACGATAAAAAATATGTTTGGCAACATGCCTGGAGAGTCTGACAAGTTCAGACATTTCCCGCCCTGGAATAATAGTGAAACGTGAGATATCAAGCAGAACATCACTGAAGCAACACCGTGAAAAAGCAGATCAGCTGCTCTTCATTGCGGGTGTCTTGCTGGTGCCTGACGGCAGGCCGGGGTGTGCCTTTCCCTCACAGTCACTTGCCCTTCCCTCACAGTCACTGATATCCTCATCTCACTGCTCCTGACAGCAGGTCGGGGGCACTTATCCTGCCACTTGACCTGCGTTAAATTTCTTTCTCTCTTGAGCTGACTATGAAATATGACTGTGAAGATGAGAGTCCAGCTCAAAAGTCAAACACAAACATGATTAGCGAACTGTCTAACTTGTCTGATTCTCAAGTTCTGGGAAATTTCGGCAAGGTGGGAAGGCCGAGTGGGGGTGGGGTTGGGGGGGTTCGTTTTAGGTAGGTCAGCTGTAGGAGGCACAGAGATAACAGACAACCCTAGAGCACCCACTAAGAGGCTTTAGGGTGTAGGAGTCTTTATTACATCAATATGATCCTCTGACTGTGCCCAAGCTTGACACATAGACAGACAGATCGATAAATAAATGATACAATTTAATTAATTAATTCATGAATGAACTCCCTGTCATATATGTCTTGTTTTCATCCATCCATCCATTTTCTGTAACCACTTACCATATTCAGGGTCTCAGGGGGTCCGGAGACTATCGCAGAGACTACAAGCGCAAAGCAGGGAACAACCCAGGATGGGGCGCCAACCCATCGCAGGGCACACCCACACACCATCCACTCACACTCACACACCATTCACTCACACACCAACACCATTCACTCACACCCCATTCACTCACACAGACACACCTATGGGCAGTTTGGTAACTCCAATTAACCTCAGCATGTTTTTAGAAACCGGAGTACCTGCAGGAAACCCCACAATGACACGGGGAAAACATGCAAACTCCACACACAGGGAGCCAGGGAGGAGACTCGAACCCAGGTCCCAGAGGTGTGAAGCAACAGTGCAAACCACTGTGCCACTACATCCTGCTTTTTCCAGTCATAATATTGTTAATAAGTCGATCTCATTTTATACTTACAAGTCATGCGGTAGCTTGAACAAAAGCTGTTGTTCTGTTGATAAACTATATATTATATGGACACATGTACTCATAAGTACCGGCAGATCGTATTTCAATAGAGTTAACGACTATGAGCATTTCTAAGTTCTTCAGAAAACAAACAAAATGACGTGACTACTCCGTGAGACCTTCCCGCGCAGCTCAGATCAGGAAGCTCTGTAACCAGATCTAAGCGTCACGCCCACAGACGAGAAACCCAGCGTGTTTGTCCTCATTCTGTTTTTCTCCTCTGAATGACTGCTTCACTGCACTCTGAAAGTTTTCCATCCCATATTCTCCAGATTCTGCACCAACGTGCTACGTTCCAGCCTCCTGTTCCAGCCTCACTCAGACTCACCAGGAACCATCTAGTCTGCCTACGGTCCTGTCTTTCAGGAGCAGTTAAGATTAATTAATGAGGACATATTCTAAGCTGCGGACGACTAAGGTGAAATTCCCACATAGTGGACTTCTTAGTGTGTGCTTGATCAAAGGAGCCCGTGCCTTCTGTATAATCCTCTCTGAATACATGTTTAACCATTTCGCAGAAAACAATGCAAACAAAGTAACACAAAAGACAAACCCAAACAAAAGAGTATAAAAAGAATATAGGGATAATAGCATCTCTACATCTTTACATAGAGCACGAAACACAGCTGTTTCAACACTGTGGGAGAAAGTGTGGACTTGCTCTAGACACTTTTAATTTCTACATTTAAACAAAGGTTTTAAATTTCATGTCTTTCTACTAATCATGTATCTGTTTTAATAATACATTTTATCAATTTTACATACTTTTTTACAATAACTTAAATGGTTTCATGTTTTATAAGTATAAAAATAAAAGAAGTATTAGGCAATAGAACCCTGTAGTGAAGTCCTGAGATTTGATCTAGGATATTTGAGCACCACTCCTAATAGGGTCATGTTGGGCGTCCAGCGTAGGGCTGGGGAAGGGGCTCACCAATGTTCATCACGTCCACATCTATGGAGTCCGAGCAGGAATTCCCCAGGGCGTTCCTGGCCACCACCGTGATGTTGTAGCTCACCCAGATTGATGTGTAGGTCTTGTTGAAGAAGCAGGAGTTTTCACCCGCTGTTTCATAGTCTGGGCACTCAAAGACCTTTTCAGAGCTGTGCAGTAAGTGGGGGTGGGGGGTTTGGAGGAGCAAATAGGTTTGGGGTGTTAAAGATCTGGCTGGTGACAACAACGTTGTTTGCTTGAACAGGAGCCAAATTGCTGCTGCACCCCAATACCGGAACGTGAACAGCTTCAGTGGGCATCAAACTGGGAACCCGCAAGTGTATGTTATACTGCAAGAAAGCATCTGTAAAATCTGAAAACAAATAAACTGAGGACCTGACATAGACAAATGAGAAAACCTCAGCTCAATACAAACACCTTCTTCACCTGCCTTCAAAAAAAGTCACCATCTTGGTCTCAGCACTGGCAGAAAGTAAGTAATTGGTCTCTTTCGACATTAAATACACAAACTACGGAATTACGCTGAAAGTGCAGAAGGCCTTTGAAAAACACAGACATTTAAACACGAGTGATTCCCGGCATGATACTGTCGGCATCATAATATAAAGGTTTCTCAAGATGGAAGCTGTGCAAGACATTACAAAGGAAGCACTTCCCAGGCTTGAGAACACAGCCCCCCCCCCCACCATGGCCGCCGCACAGGCCGTTCCACTCCGTGTGTGTGGTGCTGCTGTTGTTGTGCCTCCTTATCTGCATCACTGTTCACCAGGTCTGGGATTCGGACCCACTGGGGCAGGAGTGTCAAACTTCTTCCGTTAGCTGGACTTGTTGGACCCAACCAACCTCGGGGGGGGTGGGGGCAGTCCACAAGGGGTGGCATATTAAGGATTCCTTTCATAACTCTGTATGGGGCTTGAGTAGTTTTGGGTTCAGGGGGAGGGGTTCACGGTTCCCTCCGTATATGCGGATTGTGAAGATCGATTGGAGAAGTGTGACTTCCGGTACAGTGCGTGAACAATGATATGTTGACAAAGTGTGACGTGAACAGAACCTCGGCCGGCGATCGGTTTCGGTAAGGTGTTTCCCGTCCTGTGCGATTGATGCAGTTAATCACCTTGCAATTGTTCCCCAAGTAATGATGAATGACGAAAACAAAGGAAAAGAGGCCAGATTTAGTGAGGCATCTGTAGCGGCGTTTCTCAGACTGATGCTTGGACAAAAGGCTGATCCTTGTCTGGACACATGAACTCTGTAGCTGTGAATATGTGTGTCCTCACAGACTTGAGGCAGACCACCATGTCAATGATGTCACTACTTTATTGATATTTATTTAGCTTTCACAGCTGCGTCACTGGTCTCCTGACTACACTTATAAACGTACTGCCGTTTCCTCAGTCCTGTCACTCATTCATTTATTTTATCTATCCTGAGTCACGCTTGTAAACCCCAGACTCAGACCACTAGACTCAGTCAGCCATTGCATTCTTCAGCCTGTTGGCTCTGATACTGGCACCAAACATAACAATCCTTCAAC